ATTTCTAGCCCAACTGTGTTATGGCCTAAGGGGACTCAGACACAGAAAAACCTCTGCCCTTGAGAGACTTAAATCTAAGGAACAGAGAACAAAGAAAGACAGCCAGGAAACTCAAGGGTGTCTGGGTTTGGGAATTTATTGTCTGATTAAAATTAAATCTGTTAGAAGATGCATACATTAGAATACAGTTTGTATTCAGCTTGTCTCAAGATGCGAAGGCAGCGCTGGAATTAGCAACTTAGCAAGATGTGTGTTGGCAGAGGCCTGGAGATGACTCAGGAGGCCAGAGTCCCACCTGCTTCTGGTTTTCCTCACAGACAAACCCTCAGCCTCCCTGAACTTCAACTTCTCAGTGACAGAATGGGAAAAAGCAAACATCGCTGTCTGTTCTTCCCAGCTCTGAGATCCCATCTCTTCCGCACCTTATTCTACACGTTTCTAATCAGCACATCATCAACCACCATTGTAGCAATCTTCTCGAGGACCCCAGGCCCATTTCTCTTGAGGAACTGGGGGTTCAGTGGCCACCTGCTTTGTGGTTCAAAATCTGCTATCCCCTAAGATTTAGGCCAATATATAACAGTTACCATCTCAAATAGTATATTGACTGAATTCATGATCTTTGGTGTTAATAAGTGGGGGATCAAATCCTAGCTCTGTCCCTTACTAGCTGTGTGACCTTGAGTAAGTTGTTTAAGCTCTGTGAGTCCCAGTTTATTCCTTGTAAAATAAGAGGAATAGCAGATATCTCACAGAATTTTTATCAGTATTAGAATGAGATAATATACAGCCAGGCTTAGAGCAAAAGCTCTCTATAGGGTGGTGGTTTTTATTAGCAATCTCAGCAGAATGCTTAAAAAGCTGAACTTCAGAGTGCTAAGGACACCTGTCTGCTTCATTGCCAGCTAGCCATCCAGTGTGGAACAAGTTATTTAGAATCTCTAAGACTCAGTTTTCTAATCTATAAAATGGGGATGATGATTACTCTCTTGATGTTTATTGTAAGGACTAAATTATATGATTGATCATCAGCAAACTGTTCAGCACTCACTTGGCAAACTCTGTGAGTAGCAAGACCTGCTTTTATTAGTGTCATGTGTCATTTGAACACAGGTAGATATATTCATCTGCTCAAGCTGCCATACCAAACGCCATTGACTAGGTGGCTTAAACAATAATATTTATTTTCTCACAGTTCTAGAGGTGGGAAGTCCAAAATCAAAGACCCAGCAGGGTTGGTTTTTCCTGAGATCTTTCCCATTGGCTTGCAAATGACTGCGTTCTTGCTGCGTCTTCACATGGCCTTTCCTCTGTGTCTGTGTATCCCTGTGTATGTCTCTCTCCCTCCCTTCTTATAAAGATCCAGTTGTATTGACTTAGGGTCCCACCATTGTGACCTTATTTAACCTTCATTACCACTTTAAAGGCCGTGTCTTCAAATATAGTAATATCGGAGGTTAGGCCTTCAACATACAAATTATACAGGGACACAGTTCAACCCATAACAAGGCTAGAAACCAGACTGCAGCAGATGAAGGAGAGAGCAGGAGGTAGGAAATGGACCCAGTGGGTAAAGTCTCATCTTTTCTGAGACATTCGACGGTGCAGGAGAGGAGAGAGGTGGTCATTGTTTTTAACATTGTTATTTCTGTTGATATTGAGAGAGAGTGTGGCCAAATAGAAAGAATATAAACGTTGTCGTCAAAAGCTTGGGCATAAATCTTTTCTCTACTTCTTCTCCCGTGTGACATCTGGCCTCTCATTTTTCACCTCTGTGAGACTCGGTACCCACATATGTAAAAAATGGACAACTAAACCTCATCATGGAGTTCTTGTACAGATTAGAATTGTATCAACAGAGCACCTCGCCCATCTCCTGGCATAGAAGCCCAAAAAAATGTGAAGCACCATATTAAAATCCCCCCAAATACACACTGCTCTGTGGTGGCTGAGTCACATTGTGAATTTCACAGTCCTGGGCTCTCGACAGAATTTGTCTCCAGGAATCAGTCTTGATTGGGTTAGGTGGCGTTGCTTTTTTAACTTAACATGAGCTGGTGATTGCTGCTGATTTCAGGTATGTTTTTAGAGCCTGTCAGCCTCCTAGAAATAGAAACAGCCCTTCGGCAGAGAGGAGTCATTAAGAAGTAAGGTGCCAGGCAGCTGGGAAAACAAGACAGCCTGCAGGCAGGCACTTCAAGTGTGGTGCTTTGACTGTTGCATGTGCCGCTCATCTTATGACACACACTTAACTCAATTACATTGACCCTCCGGCCCTGGGTCTTTTGTTTCAGCCTGGACATCTGCAAGTCTGAGACAGCTGGAGAAGAAACCGTGTTGGTAGTGTGGTTCAGTCTGCTGTGTGGTTACAAAGGCCAAGAGGTTAATGCGCTGTTTTGTTTCTTTCCAAAGGAAGGGTCGCTATGTGTAGAAGAGGTTATGCTATGATTGAAAGACTGCCCAGAAAAGCCGACTAGGATTTGCTTTACTTGTGCCTGTGCTGTTTCTGAGAACGCACGGAGAACACAGTGATTTCAAAGAAGGCATCTGAGCTCCACGCAGAGTCCAGAGACCTTGGTTTGAGAATTTATTTTCTAGAGGGCAGCTAAGGCTCAAGGGGTTCCAGAGGAAAGGAAACTTTAACAGCAGCATCGTTTGTTTATTGACTCATTTATTCATTTACGAAAGAATTCTTGAGCAACTAGGAGGTGTCAGATTCTGTGTTAGGTCCAGAGGACACACAGATCTGTAAGACGTTGCCGATGTCTTCAAGGAACTCATAGCGGAAGAAAGACATGAACAGATCACAGTGTTACGTTTTATATGCTATCTGAGACGGTGATAAGTTGTGATGACTCTGACCAGGAAGCCAACCGTTCTGCATGCCACAGCAATCTGGGAAGGCTTCAGAGAGGAGGCAGTAATATTTAAATAGAATCATAAAAGATACATGAATTTCACCAGGTAGAAAAGGGAAAGAAGAATATCGTAAGCTGAGGAAATTATACTGTAAATGATTCAAAAGAAGCTTACATCAGGACATTTTTCAAAAACTCAGAGTCTTTCTATTTGGTACTATTTACATGAGGTCCATTCTGTGGCATTTATTTCTGCACTGGTATTTATAGTAACTTCAACACGGTCTAATTCACTGGATTAACAGCAATCGCAGGAAGTACCATCTTCCTTAATTCTCTCTAGCTCAGGACTCGTTGAGTAGAATCAACATTTTTGTTCCAATGAACAAAGGAGAAAATTGGAGGAGCCCCATTTGGGCTTCTGTCATTTCCCCGCGAAGCCCAGCCTGAGGTCACATTGGTGATGCCCAGCTGCCTTTTATTGGCTACGTTTATCCCTTTGCACATCCTTTAGATGCACACCCCGCTTTCTTTCCCATCGATTTTATCCTTGTCAGCTCAGAGTTTATCACTGGTCTTCCCATATTTTCATGGGTCCCATTATTATTCTTATCCATCCATCACTATTCTGCAGCTTTCCCAAATCACTGTTCCAAAATAAATTATAATATGAAAAGTACACAATTGCTTGCTTTTATCTCCTCTTCCGCATTTTGACAAACACGACCGTTCAGAGTATTTATTTCATCACCATTACTGTTCTTTTGTAAACTCCTTGAGGGCAGTGATAAGGACATGCCCAGATTAGACTTCCACTGGCCTTTATTTTTTCCCTGCTAAGTGAGCTCTCTCCCCTCACTGCATTCAGCAAGACAGGGAAGTAAGTAGGTACCAATGTTAGTGAGAGGCAGTGATGTGACTTTTGTAGTCAAAATGACTGCACTTCCAACTGACACATGAGATAGGAAATTGGAAGTGTTGGTGGCCCTGGGACCAGAGGCAATGAGAAGCAGCTGTTCTTCTAAGCCTTCCCCCTCTGAGATGGGAATCTGTAGCCAAGAGGAAGTAACAGAAGGGAGGGAAGCCATGGCTTCAGTTCCGGGCCCAGATGCTCTGTCCCTGATGAATTCCTTAGACTGGACTATGGCAGGAAGAATTTCTTAGGCTTCCATTGGGCCCCACTGCAAACAACATGGACCCAATTAAAAATGCACGAGACCTAAACACTCAGATCCTAATACATACCAACACCTCCCAACTTGTGTTCTACCTGACCCTAGGGCAAAGATGCAGATGTTCCAGATGTTACTTGTGGGGAGAAAGAGCTCTGTGGACAAATACTTTCTGGGGTCAGTTGGGTTAAACAAAGTTAAACATAATTTCTTCTTGCGAGTCCTCTCAAAACCTTTATATTCCTGTTAACATTAAACTCTGTTAACGTTTACAACATTTCTCAAATTTATATGATCTCAAAATTCTTTTTGCATAGAGCATCTTAGAGAAATTAGAGCATAAATATAATTTGCAAATCAAAGTACAATTCTTTAGACTTCGTCTATGGATTTTCTTGGCTGCAACATAGGACCTAGCCAGCAGTTCCCCTGGCCCCAGTCCATCCAGCATGCAACCGTGAAGACTGGGTTTATGCCAGTCAAACTGGCAGTTTATTACTTTGCTCACTTTAGCACCTGATCTGACTACTTTATTTGTAGCCCCAGGAAAAATATTTGATTTCAGAGGCAACTTCTCTGAGTATCAGCAGAGTTCTGTCTCACAAACGCATGCTAGAAGGGCGATGCCGATTGCCGTTTAACTAAAATTCCATTTTTATAGCTGGTACTTGGTACAGACACAGAAATCCCAGGTTTTAAGATTGTTCATGATGCTTTTGCACTTTTCGAACTGTACTGGAAAAATGCTAGTATTATAATATCTAATGACTAGAAAGTATGAAAAAAATATCATAGAGAATTGGCTTAGCTTAATACTGTAAACTCTGGGAAATATCAAGACCATTGATCGACAGTGTGAGACTCCTTCCTCTGGAAAAATAACACAATTCCAATAAGCATTGCATTCTGTTTTCCTGTGTATTGATGAGCCATGACTGTTCTAAAGGCCCTTTTTGGTTTTCCTCCACAGACAGCGTGGAAGATGAACTGGAGATGGCCACCGTTAGGCATCGGCCTGAGGCTCTCGAGCTTCTGGAAGCCCAGAGCAAATTCACCAAGAAAGAGCTCCAGATTCTTTACAGAGGATTTAAGAATGTAAGAACTTTCTTTTTGGCTTTACCTTTATCTAGTTCTCAGAGGAGCATTGAAAAGAGAGAGAGAAAGAGAGAGAATACACATTTCTTTGAGGGCTCTGTCACATGTACGTTTTCTACCAACTTTTCCTAGATGTGAATATTGTCAATATTTTTTTGGACTTTGATTCACTTTGGCCCACCATACAATGTAGGTGCACATTAAACAAGAATGAGTAAAGGAGAACGAAGCTTACTCAATTCAATTCTTAGTTGGGATTTTTTATAGCTATAATGACATCATTTCGATAAGCTCCAATTATCTTTGGATTTTTAAACTATAGTCAGATGCTTAACTTGAAACTTTACTGAAGATTGCAGTCCATCAAGAAACTCCATTCCTAGCAGAGAAAAAAAGTCACTATAAGTTTGATAGTCTCTAAAAGGCCGTGTTGCAATGACTCAAGACCACAGGTGCCTGTAGGTAGTCCCTGTATCTGGTTCTCTGTGATCCAGATGTGGCTATGATACTAAGTACCTGAGTGAATCATCTCCAAAAGAAGTAACAGTTCATGCGTATCAGAGGGAGAGAGTGCCAATGAGTCGTAATGTATCAGGCGCACTCTTATTGAATCTTTGGTATGTGCTCACTATTAACCTAGTTATTCAAAAGTTAACTACAAGTTGTTCAAAAGCCAGAAAAGATATGCTTCTGTCCTCAAGGAGCTTATGGCCTGAATAGAGATAGAAGACTTGCTATTATGAATCTATTGGAAAATAATTCATCTTTAAATGTAATAACGGTTGTCTATCAAATGGCATGCACAACCCAGCATGTCTCGTGTTCATACATATATGTAAACCACAGTAGCTATAGGGGCCCTTGGAGATCCAAATTAAATTGCTTTGATTCTTCCTCAAGTCCACACCCCAAGATGCCCTATTCCATGGCCTGTAGAAGTCTATAGTGTCCAAAGATTTCTGCTAATTCCAGCCTCTTCAAAACTGACCCCTTCAAATAATACCTCTGTCCAACCTCGTGCAGGCCAGATGAGAACTTTTGCTCCTTCTTTGACATCCACAAAAAAAAACTTACTCAGAGAATTTGTAACTCAAGCTTTCAGAATATATTAATAGGGTTCCACATAATAGACACAACCTCCCACCATCTCTCTGGTTTGTGGAGTCTCCCTCTGTCCCATTTCTGCTCCTCACCATTTCCCTTGCCTGAGCTGTCTAAATTTTTCTATCCTCATTACTTCTTCAAAATCTGGTCCTCTGCTAACACCCAGGCCTTTGTGGGGGTACACTGGGTGGGGTAGGAGGAGATATAATAGAGAGAGGTGTTCATTACACAGACAGGACTCTCATTAAAAGGAATCTTGATATGTAATCTATCTAGATGACACATATAAATAAACGTGCATAGAGAGAAAGGGGTTTGAAAATTAGGCTACAGAATTATTAGTTATGCCTATGAAGCCACGGTTTGTAGCTATCAGAGAGAACAAGATTTATAATGAAACAGCATCACTGACCACTGACAGCCCCAAACCACTGAGTGGCAAGGATGGAGGAGGAGAGGAAGTGAAAAAGACCAAGTGTTGACCAAAAGTAAATGTTAAAGAAAGGCTAATGGCAGAATAGAACTTCAAACGTATTCCTGTGAACATCTAACACGTTTTTGCTCTAATTTAAAGATCTTCTAATAAGCAAACATTTCTTTTTAACATGGTACTGTGCACCAGATACAAAATGGTTGTTGAATAAAGGAGAACTTAATTCGAACTCCCAGAATCCCTGTATTCCTGGATGACTGCTGCATTATTACTCTGCCACCATCACTGCAGGCGTCTCCATGTGGGGTCCAGCTGCTTTTTATCCCATTTGTTGCAAATTGGAATCATGATTAGTGCCATCATTAACCTTAGGAGCCAGCATCTCTGCAGCCTGTCTTTTCCAAGTAGCACTTCACAAATTATCGCCCAGGCTCCGAAGTCTGCATTCCTCGATTTCTTTTATGTTTTTTCTTTGCCTACTTGTCCTCTTGTTTTCTTTTCGTCCCCTCTCTCCTCTTTTCTCGCCATTTCTTTCCTCCTTTCCTACCCTTCCGATCCCTTCTTTCTTCTTTCCTCCATCCTCTCCCTCCCTTCCTTTTTTTTTTACCTCCTTTGTGTCTTCCTCTTGTTAATTCTTACCTCCTTTCTTTCACTTCTCCTCCTTCCTTCCTCTTTCTGTATTTTTCTCCTCTCTCGCCAACATTTTCTGTATCTCCCATCCCTGCAGCATGAGATAAATTTCCACTAGACCTTTATGTACTCAAAACACATTTTATATGCATTTTTAAAGAAAGGACTTCACAATTTACTCAGAAAATATGAATCGATGTCTCTAATAAATCAAACAAACATGGTCTTTTAATTTTCATTTATTTTCCCCTATTCAAGTGTACAACCCAATCAATACTCCCTGAAATACAGCAAGGGAGGCACTAAACAGGTCAGCGGGATGTGTTATAGGATGGCAGCAAGCTGAACCCACTTGGCAGCAGAGAAAGCAAATCAACTACCCTTGGTTTCCTGAGCACCAATTATCTCAAGCCCTTAAGATCAAAAAATAATTTCCCTGGAACCAATTAAGATATCCATTTTTAATGAAACCTTTTAAAACTCCCCATATCTTGATTAAAAGGATAAACTATTCATCAATGTCTTAAAATAGTCACACTTACATGGCAGCGGCTCGACATGGCAAGGCAGCCTGCAAATAAAGATCACCAGAGTCCCCAGTCTTTGTCCAGGATGCTATCTCTGTAGCATTTCCTCATTTCCAACCTAGATTATTAACATAAACAAGGTTTGGGAGAAAAGGAAGATAGTGAGAGACAATTTATCAGCCCCTCACCCCCGTCTCACCTACTGAGTCACCTCCATATTTTTATTTCTCTTACCACATGCTGAACTGAGTCTCTAAAATTAGGCGGCTGATAGAAATGGGCAACATAATAGTGTTTCTCAACTGTTTGTGTGCTTCGAATCATCTGAAGGGCCTTGTTAAAACACAGATTTCTGTGACTCAGACCAAAAGATTATGGTTTAGTAGGTCTGATTTAGGGGCAGAGGATTTGCACTTTTCATAAGTTCTCTGTCGATACTGAAGCTGCTTGTCTGGGCATCACACTTGGAGAATTACTGTACGATGCAGACATCAGAAGTTTTGGCATCGCTCAGACTCGGATCCACAACTGACTCGTTTACGCAGCTCCCTCTGAATCAGTGACCTGTATGTCCTTCTCCCTACAAATCTGCATAATGATACCTACATCACACAGGTTTTTTTTTGTTTGTTTTTGGAGGGTTTTTTTTTAGATATTAAGATAACAAACATGAAGTTAAACAAAAAAGCATTACATGGTATGGTCCCAAATAGTCAACCTCAATTTAGTGTTCCATCAAAGCGAGGCAGTTATGGTTGGCCTACATACCTCCCAGGCCATTTTTTGGGTTTTGGGCTACATGACCATTTATTAGAAAGAATGCAGAAAAATATTAGGTATTATCTATACATCAGTGATCTCAAACTTAACTTTAATTTGCAATCATCCGGGAAGCTTTAAATATTACAAATAGTTGGTTACTATGTTTGGTGATTTTGATGTGATTGCTCCAGGAAGAAGCTTCAGCATCAGGATTTATAAAGCTCTCCAGGAAATTGTAATGTGCAGCCTAGACTGAGAACCATTAAAATGAATGTATAAGATCCAGGGCATAAGATGATCAGTCACAAAAAGTACTGATCTAATTGCAATGAGCATTATCACGTCAAATACCAGTGGTTAAACTGGCAGCATTGGAACCTTCTGAAGTCCTTGGTGGATGGAATGTTTGTCGGGGCGAGGGGGGATGACAGTAACAGGTCTCACTTCTAATGATTCTGACTCAGTTAAGTCTGGGATGGTGCTCAGAAATCCTTTGTTTTGAACTTTTTAATTAAGAAAAAATTCCCATTTTAATAGAGAACTAACAGAAAAGTCATATTTGAGAACCACTGACCCAGAAGGTCATACAAGTATATATGTAAATATATATATATATTTCATAAACTGGCTCTCTTTCAAAATCAAGCATAAATTTAGTTCACTTTCAGGTGATCACGAATGGTCTGCTGAGGCATTGAGTTTTAATATGGCTATGCATCTTTATCATTTTTTCTCATTGGTTAATAATTTATAGAATATTTTTTCCATCTTTTAAGGCATGGGATGAAAGATAAGGGCCAATAGTTAGACCTGTATGCTTTGGACACCTGGATCCTTCCTGTCCCAACCCTTTCTTTGCTTCTTTTCCTTCAGTACTTTGAATTATATTAGGTTAAAGTATTCATCAGATTCAAATATGTCTTCAGGGTACCACTGTAATACTTGTTAATGTCCTTTATCCCTAAAAATGCTAAATGTTGATATCCTTTTTACCTGGAAAGAAAGATGTTTGCTTTACCTTCTGGATCGCAGAGTCTTCTTCCAAGCTCACACTGCTGTGGGCAGAACTTATTTCTTCGTTGTTGTATTTCTGAGATCCCCAGTCTCTTGCTGACTGTCAATCTGGGGTCACTAAGCCCCCAGTGGCTTCCCATAATCCCTTGCCAATGGCCCACTCACAGGCTCTTATATAACCTGGCAGCTCACTTCTTCAAAGCCAGCAAGGGAGAGTTCTCCAGTCTGTTAAAGCAGAGACTTCTGTAATGTAACATAATCATGGGAGTGATATCTCAGCCCATCTCAGCACTTAAGGCCAGGAGATTAAAAAGAACGTGCCTTACTAGGAGTCACCAACAGTGGTGTTTGTGAGGAGGCAGCAACCCCTGTAGAGTGAAGCAGCTGAATTTGGTCGGATGTCACATCTCAAGCACAGTTAATTCCCACCCTCAGTGCTGTGCCTGCGATTCAGACATCTCCTTGGAGATTTTACCAAAAGTGGCACCCAACTATTCCTTGATTTCTGTGAGTTTTTATAGTATGGCCAA